GTTGTTGAAGAGTCAACTTAATCTTAAAAATGCTCTCTCGAGGAATGATGAGTTCTTTCATGTTCGGTGTTGTGCACATATTCTTAATTTGATAATTTAAGATAGACTTAAAGAAATTGATGAATCAATGATAAAAATTCCAAAAAACATCAAATATGTTAAAGGTTCATCGGGAAGGAAAAAGAAGTTCATGGATTGTGTTACTCAAGTTTCATTAAACAATTCCTATTTCTACAGTTGTATCTGAATCTGCATTTAGTACCGGTGGTAGAGTTTTGAATAAGTATCGAAGTTCACTTTTGCCAGAAACTGTCCAAGCTTTGATCTGTACTAGAGATTGGATTCATGGAACGAGCAGTAAGTTTAATTCTATTTACTAATATTATTTTTCTCATTATACTAATTCATGTGATCATTGATTCATTTATGTTTTGCTTTGCTTAGTTATAGATGATTCTAGTGATGATTCGGAAGGGGAAATAAATGATGATATTTTCAATCAAAATATGAAGTCTAATAAAGTTATATCTGCTCAATGTTCTAATTCTATGTCTATCATTGATCATGACTACAGAGAGGCAATGCCAAGTTTTTAGTACTTATATAGTTATGAGTCTATTTAATTATTAATGTTTTATAATATTTTATTTTAATTTGTGTAGGGCATGAGAATTTAGTTGTTGAATTTGCTCGTTGTCATGGAGGTAGAGATTTGATATCTTTCATGAGATTTTGTGAATCATGGAATTTGTGTTTGTTTGAAATTGTGGTTTGTAATATGATTGTTATTTCGGATTGTATTTATGATNAAAAAAAAAAAAAATAGAAAAAGAAACTAAGTAGGTATAAATGCTTCATAATCTTATCTTATATAAAACAAAGCATTTTATTTTATAAAACTATAATTGTCTAGATGGTTTTGATCTGGCAATTTATTTTACTTTTTTAATCATAATAAATTTATTTATTTGTATTTAACCTTTTAACTACATTACATATTTTAACCATATATATCGTTTAATCATAATAAATATTTTAACCACAGGAGAAAGAGTGTACATTTCAGGGAGCACCCTGTAAGATTGCTCAAAGCATGCTTGCTAAACTGTCAAATCAAGCTAATTTCGGTGAAAAAAACAAATCATCCACTACAATCCACCAACTTACAAATTATGTTGATATGGTGTGATTTTTAAGGGAAACCGATCACCCCAAGAGAGAAGCAATGTAACATAGCACAAAAGACCAAAAGCAATCAACAAGACATCATCTCTTTTATATATAATNATATTTATTTGTGCTAATTTGTTAGTTTTATGATGTTCTAAAGCATTTTTAAATAAATAGGTAAAATGGTTAAATGGATGACTTACCGTGTTAAATGGGTCAAATGGGTGGTAAACAGGTAAATGGGTTAAAAGAGTGATAAATGGGTCAAACGAGTGGTTTATCGTGTTAACCCGACCCAACCTAACTCGACTCGTTAAAAATTAAACGTGTTAAACGAGTCGTGTGTCGTGTTACCCGTTTAGTAAACGGTTCATGTTTGTATTTTAATTTTTTATCTATTTATTAAACGTGTCATGTACGAATTTATATATTTTTCATCCGTCATCCGTTTAATCGGACACGTAATCGTTTAATCTAATACGTTTTGACACTCCAACTGATAGGTAGCGGATAAAGATGAATACAGGCGGTGAAGGTACCCACGTCGTGATTGTAAGGAGCCAGAAAATACTAAAAGTAGACAGCTAACATGGCTGGCAAAGCATTACCAGCAACCATTCCTTATCAGCCAATTGTCATCCCCACCACACACATACATAATAATGTACAGCACTACGACATTGTTATTCACCACACACGCACACGTACACGCACATATATATATATATATATTATAATTAGTATTGTGATTATTCTATAATATTTTCGGGGAGTGCTGATGAGCTGTAGAGGATGTCTCTATACTTTAGCATCATCCATGGCTTAAACTTTGAGATTTGGTTAACCTCCATTTGTAATGCTGATGATTGAACAAAGCAATCATTGTCCTTTTATTAACATTTGATTAATGGTTACAGTTGCTTTGTACACTCCAAATCATCACCAAAGTGGGTCCCTCATTTTCTTATTTTTTTTTTCCTCGACACTGCTCAATCAAACCAGAACTATCATGCAAGATTGACGGAAATTACAACTTAATCCCACAGATAAAGAGGGGACAAACAAAAAAAAAAAAAATAGAAAAAGAAACTAAGTAGGTATAAATGCTTCATAATCTTATCTTATATAAAACAAAGCATTTTATTTTATAAAACTATAATTGTCTAGATGGTTTTGATCTGGCAATTTATTTTACTTTTTTAATCATAATAAATTTATTTATTTGTATTTAACCTTTTAACTACATTACATATTTTAACCATATATATCGTTTAATCATAATAAATATTTTAACCACAGGAGAAAGAGTGTACATTTCAGGGAGCACCCTGTAAGATTGCTCAAAGCATGCTTGCTAAACTGTCAAATCAAGCTAATTTCGGTGAAAAAAACAAATCATCCACTACAATCCACCAACTTACAAATTATGTTGATATGGTGTGATTTTTAAGGGAAACCAATCACCCCAAGAGAGAAGCAATGTAACATAGCACAAAAGACCAAAAGCAATCAACAAGACATCATCTCTTTTATATATAATTTTATCTCTTTGCAAACCCAAAACTTCTGAGGAGGAGGAGGAGGAGGAGGAGGAGCAGGGAAGTATAAGTTATCCAAACTAAAAGNATTTTATCTCTTTGCAAACCCAAAACTTCTGAGGAGGAGGAGGAGGAGGAGGAGGAGGAGCAGGGACGTATAAGTTATCCAAACTAAAATNATAGATGATTCTAGTGATGATTCGGAAGGGGAAATAAATGATGATATTTTCAATCAAAATATGAAGTCTAATAAAGTTATATCCGCTCAATGTTCTAATTCTATGTCTATCATTGATCATGACTAAAGAGAGGTAATGCAAAGTTTTTAGTACTTATATAGTTATGAGTCTGTTTAATTATTAATGTTTTATAATATTTTATTTTAATTTGTGTAGGGTATGAGAATTTGGTTGTTGAATCTGCTCGTTGTCATGGAGGTAGAGATTTGATATCTTTCATGGGATTTTGTGAATCATGGAATTTGTGTTTGTTTGAAATTGTGGTTTGTAATATGATTGTTATTTCGGATTGTATTTATGATTTATAATATGGTTGTTGGTGGAATTTGGATATTTTGGAATATAGTTTGTACTTTATAATATGGTGCGGTATGATATCTCTAAATATCATATTTATTTGTGCTAATTTGTTAGTTTTATGATGTTCTAAAGCATTTTTAAATAAACAGGTAAAATGGTTAAATGGATGACTTACCGTGTTAAATGGGTCAAATGGGTTAAAAGAGTGATAAATGGGTCAAACGAGTGGTTTATCGTGTTAACCCGACCCAATCTAACTTGACTCGTTAAAAATTAAACTTGTTAAACGAGTCGTGTGTCGTGTTACCCGTTTATTAAACGGTTTGTGTTCGTATTTTAATTTTTTATTCATTTATTAAACGTGTCATGTACGAATTTATATGTTTTTCACCCGTCACCCGTTTAATCGGACACGTAATCGTTTAATCTGATACGTCTGACACTCCAACTGATAGGTAGCGGATAAAGATGAATACAGGCGGTGAAGGTACCCACGTCGTGATTGTAAGGGGCCAGAAAATACTAAAAGTAGACAGCTAACATGGCTGGCAAAGCATTACCAGCAACCATTCCTTATCAGCCAATTGTCATCCCCACCACACACATACATAATAATGTACAGCACTACGACATTGTTATTCACCACACACGCACACGTACACGCACATATATATATATATATATTATAATTAGTATTGTGATTATTCTATAATATTTTCGGGGAGTGCTGATGAGCTGTAGAGGATGTCTCTATACTTTAGCATCATCCATGGCTTAAACTTTGAGATTTGGTTAACCTCCATTTGTAATGCTGATGATTGAACAAAGCAATCATTGTCCTTTTATTAACATTTGATTAATGGTTACAGTTGCTTTGTACACTCCAAATCATCACCAAAGTGGGTCCCTCATTTTCTTATTTTTTTTTTTCCTCGACACAAATAAGATGATTTTGCTCAATCAAACCAGAACTATCATGCAAGATTGACGGAAATTACAACTTAATCCGACAGATAAAGAGGGGACAAAAAAAAAAAAAAAAAATAGAAAAAGAAACTAAGTAGGTATAAATGCTTCATAATCTTATCTTATATAAAACAAAGCATTTTATTTTATAAAACTATAATTGTCTAGATGGTTTTGATCTGGCAATTTATTTTACTTTTTTAATCATAATAAATTTATTTATTTGTATTTAACCTTTTAACTACATTACATATTTTAACCATATATATCGTTTAATCATAATAAATATTTTAACCACAGGAGAAAGAGTGTACATTTCAGGGAGCACCCTGTAAGATTGCTCAAAGCATGCTTGCTAAACTGTCAAATCAAGCTAATTTCGGTGAAAAAAACAAATCATCCACTACAATCCACCAACTTACAAATTATGTTGATATGGTGTGATTTTTAAGGGAAACCAATCACCCCAAGAGAGAAGCAATGTAACATAGCACAAAAGACCAAAAGCAATCAACAAGACATCATCTCTTTTATATATAATTTTATCTCTTTGCAAACCCAAAACTTCTGAGGAGGAGGAGGAGGAGGAGGAGGAGGAGCAGGGACGTATAAGTTATCCAAACTAAAATTGAAAATCACCTCCCCAAAAATATGGGAAAGGTTAATAAACCCTGCAAGAAGAACCAAATGGGAGAAGAAGCAAGGAAGAAACAAACAGAATGAACAAACTACACCTCAGATGAGCCACCAACTAGAACCCCACTGTCCATTGATTATGTTTTTAGCTTCATCGTCCATCGGCGGATGTAAATGAATCAGCAAAACCAGATGGCCTAGTAGGTATGCTGGTTTGGGTGTTATCGCTGCTGCCAATATAAGATGAAGAACCATCAATGCCGCTCATTCCTTCAAGAGCCTTCCACTTATTCACTGCCTGTGGTAAGGTCATATCATAATCGATTCCATACACGTCTTCAGGATCAGGGTCTGCTGGTTTCCAGAGCTCAGCGAGAGATGAGAGCACATTGACTGCATGCCCCATATCGGGCCTCTGATGGGGTTCCCTTGCACAGCAGTGGCCAGCCAGCTCAGCAATAGTGTTGATACTGGCAAGAACTTCCTCATCAGGATCGATCACGGGATCAATGGCCTCACGGAATGAGTCCTTGTTGATGGTCATTCTACGGAACCATGGGACGAGATGGATGCTATCCTCCTGCTGGGTTTCATCTAGTGCTTTTCTTCCCGTAATCAGCTCCATTAGAATCACTCCAAAGCTGAACACATCAATCTTAGTAGTTACTCGTCCAGTCACTGTCCGTCCAGCCACAAGTAAATTTTAATCAATAGATTCATAGAAGAGAATTCCTTTATTGACTACCACAAGCCATAAACACCATATTTTTTTCTCAGTGAACTTGATGAGAATCTGGGAAAACCTCTAAACAGAGGAGGTCTATCAGGTTAAAATATTCAGAGAGCAGAAACCACTACAGCCTTTTATCAAAATGCTTGAAAACAAAATAAGGGCATTTTCCAAATAGTCATCATTGAGATATGATATGCTAACAAAACGATAAAGTCCTAAGGGTGATTGTTCTCCTCAAATACCTAGGTTCTCAAAAAAGTTAAGAAGCCAAATTAATGATGTGAAATGCAATATAGTTGAAGCTGGGAGTCTTCTATAGTTAGCTCCACTTTATTTTAAAGCAGCATGTAACAGTCACATGTTTAAGTTAAGCAACTGCACACCTGAAACCCACTCAACTAATATAAGCTCCATCAGCAAAAGTAGTATCACATCAAAAGCAAACATAAGGATAACCATTCAGTAATCCAATCTTGTGAAGCGGAAAATAAATTGAATGCAACACGGAAAAAAATTGGCCAAAACTGCATAAGAAAATAATGGAGCCTATTTTGCCAGATATAGCGCATTCTACGGTCACAACTTGGTGACGTGGATCCCTATTTTGCAGTTCATCTCATCATCTCAATGGCCTGAATTCTATGCAATTAAATTATCTCCAATTTTTCCAAGTCTTGAAAGCTAAAAAAAACACAATGGCATATTCACAATTTGCTGCTCATCCCCTGCTTTGACGGTACACAGTTTCTCACTTTCTTGTTTGGAGTGATGCTGCTTAATGTTCTCCTATTATTTATGGGTAAAGGATTTCAATTTTCTTTACTTCTTGTGTTCTGGTCATTTTATGCACAACCAACTAGAAATTTTCAAAGCATGAGGAGGAAGAGTACAGTAGCTTGGAAGTTCTAATTAAAAGAGGAGTTGAAACATGTTACCAGCATATTCAGGTGCAAGATACCCAAACGTTCCAGCTAGTCTTGTCACGACTGAAGCTTTCCCTTCGGGAGCAAGACGAACCAGTCCAAAATCTGCAACTTTAGCCCGCATATCATCTCCCAGAAGAATGTTGGATGGTTTAAGATCCCTGTGAATAAAACTTTGTTGGGCTAAACTATGTAGATATTCAACACCTCGGGCTACATCCAATGCAATAGTCAGCCTTTTCATCCATTCGAGGGGGTTCAATCCTTCTTGCTTCCAGTTGAACAGATGCTGGCTAAGAGTACCCTGGGGCATGTACTCATAAACAAGTAGCCTCTCATTTCCATCCAAGCAATAACCTAGAAGCGCAACCAAATGCCTATGTCGGACCTTAGTAAGAACCGCAATTTCAGACTTGAACTCATCCAAACCCTTCTCACTCAAGACCCCAGATTCCATTCTCTTAACCGCAATCTTAGTCCCATCATGCAGCTCCCCTTTGTAAACAGTTCCAAATCCACCTTTTCCAAGTATATTCTTTTCACTGAAGTTGTTAGTCACATTCTTTAGAACCTGGATGGAAATCACCATGTTTCTGGACTCAACGATATGAATGTCACTAGGTCCACTGCTTCCAAGACTGTAAGTTTCACTTGCCCCGCCATTAACACTAGAACCAGCCACCGTGATTTTAACAGTATCGTCAGACCCCGAATTACGAGGATGAATTACCACGGTATTTGGATGAGGTACACCACCAGGACGCTTATGTTTGGCCCTGTAAACGCAGACAAATAATCCAGCAAAGAGAACTGCAGCACAAACACCACCAACTATTGAACCCACAACAACACCAGTCGAAGATTTATTGCTACTATTTCCAGGAGCCTCTGGTGTATTACCCGTGGGCGAGCCTGGTGTATTACCTGTGGGTGAGCCTGGTATATTACCGGCCGGTGACCCTGGTGTATTTGGAGGAGGAGAATTCTTCCCAATATTGGCGTTGCCATCAATTTTTACAAGCACATTGCTCCTGAACGATGGAATTATACCATACAGCTGATTGTTTGAAACATCCAACTCTCTGAGGTTAGGCAAATTTGTAAGCTCATTTGGAATAGAACCGGTAAGATTATTATTTGCAAGGTTCAATGTTAGCAATGATGTAATCGATGAGAAGTTTGGAGAAATCGTCCCTGTGAGTCCCTTACTTTGAAAATTCACCACAGTTATATTGCCATTAACGCATGTTATCCCCAACCACTGTGCGCAAGGGTCATTTCCCTTCCAGCTACCCGCAAACACAGTCGGATAACCCACATCTTCCACAACAGAAAGCAAATTATTCACACGAGGATCACAATCAACCCCAGCATCACTTAAACAAAAACTATTAGACCCAGCATTCATATCCACTAGAACTGAAGATTTAAACTTCGGAGCTGGTCCTTGCAACATATTATTAGTCAAATTAACAACCATAAGCGAAGGAAGATCTACCACAGATGCTAGTACCGGACCCGTAAAACTATTATCCCTCAAACTCAAATTCTGCAAATGTGTCAACCCAGAAAAGTCTGGTAAGGGACCAGAAAATGAATTCCCATGTAACCAAACTTCAGTCAATTGAGCCATGTTCTGTAGAACATCAATTCTGCCATTCAACTTAGAACTACTTTTCTGTCCATTTAACCATAGAGATTGAATTAAAGACCCTGAAAAACTAGAGGGCAGTCCACCTTCAAGATAATTGAAAGCTAAGTGCAAGTTTGTCAATCCAGGAAATGTATCGGGGCCAAGAAAATCAGGGATTGTCCCGGAAATATTAGCAGAAGTGGCTGAGAAAGTTTGGAGAGCTGAAGCACTTTTGAGACTATCAGGTATAGACCACGAAGAAAATAAATTGTAGTCAAGAAAAACAATTTGTAAAGAGAANCTTTTGAGACTATCAGGTATAGACCACGAAGAAAATAAATTGTAGTCAAGAAAAACAGTTTGTAAAGAGGTNATATTAGCAGAAGTGGCTGAGAAAGTTTGGAGAGCTGAAGCACTTTTGAGACTATCAGGTATAGACCACGAAGAAAATAAATTGTAGTCAAGAAAAACAATTTGTAAAGAGAACATACCATCGAAGAAATCAGAGGGTATAGCTGAGAAATTGTTGTTACTGAGTAAAGTGGTTTGGAGTGAACTCAACCCGGAAAAACTCGGCAGCTGCCCAGTGAGTTGATTGAATTGAACTTCAAAAACCTGTAGAGCAGTGAGATTGTTGAGGTTTGGAGGGAGTGACCCTGTGAGCCCTTTACGCCCGATTTGGATCCGAGTGATCCGTTTGTCCTTGGAGCACTGAACATTTGCCCAATTACATGGGTCTGAGTCAGTCCAGCCGAGTGAACTCGACGGGTTGAGACTTTTCTTCAGTTCTTGCATTACTGAGGCATCTGTGGCACTTGACTGAGAGTGAACAGAGAGAATAACTGAGAGCAGACAAAGAAAGACAAAACCCAGAAGAGGTTTCTTCATCTTCGCAAAAAAATGCCGCGAAATCGTCAAGAAAATGCAAGAAAATTATTGGGTTTTGTATCAGTTTCAAAAGAGTTAGTTTTTTTTTTCTAAGGTTTTAATTGAGCATTTGGGGAAGGAGCTGGGTAAGGAACATGGGTGTCTCAGGGAAGAGAAAGTGGGAGAGAGGGAATTTTTGGGGAGCAGATAGAGCGGCGGAGATGGAGGAAGGAGAAATTTAGACAGGAGAGAGAAAAAGGAGAAGTTACAGACAGGAAGTGCGTTTCCATGGGGGTAGGGAGTGTTGTGTTGTCTGTGTGTGGAGAAGAGGGAAAGGAAATCGGGATGCAGTTGGCACATGCGTGTGGGGCCAACTTTGTTTTTAATGCATGGACGCACACAAAAGCTTCCAAGGTAGTGCATGTATGCTAAGGAGATTTAGATTTATATGGTTACTTAAATAATTTCTTTGCCTTCCCTTTTGTTTTCCACTAATTGTTTTAATTGTGTCACATTGTTGACTAAAAGAAATAAAAAAAAAATTTAATACATTTTAATTTATTCAAAATAGTAAATCGCACTAATTATTATTTTTTAAATTTATAATATACAACAGGGCATATAGTTTCTAATATACTCATTTAATGATCACCAACATTTTTCTTAAAACTATTTATATTGCATCATACATCAGACTTGAATTATTCCTAATTATTTTATACTTCCTTGCTGGATATGTTGTGTCAATTTTACTTTTTTATTTCTTGGGTCAATTAACTTACCAACCTTTTACTTTTTTTTTTAATCACTTTGAATTCATTTTAACTTTAAACAAAATTAATAATTTAAAAAGCTGAATTGTATTTTACTCTTTCTTTGATAAATTATTCACTTTGTTAGTGGTTGCAATGAGATCCTAAACTTCTAGATTTTTTTAATAAAGGAAGGTAAAATGTAATAATTAAGAGTTTCAATTTTCTCATCATTACTTAAAAATATAATAGTAAAAGAAATTCTTGGATGGTTCATAAGACCAACCCTGCTTCAATATTGATAAAGTCAATCCTCTTTAAATGGTCATCTCTAATTTGATTTTCTCAAATTTATATTAAAAACTTAATTTAATAAAAAAATATTCTAATCAAGAAATTTAAAATTAAAAAAAGAAAATTTTAAATTTAAAGAAGGACAAAAAATTACTATTATATATTTAAAAAGGGGTAAAATCTGACTATTCAATTAATTTTAATACAAAAATAAAGGATAACTATTGGAATTTAATCCAAACCCTCTAATTGTCATGAATTAGAGTTTGTTGGGTAATCGATGTAAGAGTTCTAATAAACTATGAATAAGTTTATTAGTGACCTATCAAATAGGAAATAAATTAGAAAAGTTTTAATATACCATTAATTAATAGGTATATTAGACATGTGATAAAAAAAATAAAAATTAAGTTGTATCTGAATAGATTTGAACTATAGTATTTTATCCTTATAAATAAAATTGAGTAATATATAATTAGTTATCAAATGATCATATCTTAGTGAATAATACATTGATGTATATTCTTAATCCAAAGATGTCATGGATGTATGTACAGTGTACCAAGATGGGTATGCTGTATTAAACCACTTTATATCTTTGTATTGTATTTTTATTATTTTTCTATTTTGGAATTCTTATTTTTCAATAAATATTATTTTTATTAATTATTTGCTGTACAAAATTAAAAATAACATTCATTTATTAGGACGATTTATGCAGATCAGTAATTTTTGTTGATTTGGAGAATGGAGACAAATAGACAATGGTTGTTAGTATTTATTATTTGCTTAATATAAGATCTATGTTGCTGATTTGGCAATAATTATGGAGAAGTTCGAGGGATATGGAAGGGACAAAAAGGAAGTGGACCACGCCTGACAACATTCTCAATAATACTATTTAAAAAATTATAAAAATTTTATTTTTTTGTTTACGATACTCGTTAAATTCTTAGTTTCTATATATAGGATCCATTGACCATATTATTTGTATCGAACCTTAATTTAACTCATTTATTACTCGTATCAATTAATCGTGTTATTTTCGAGTATTGTGTCGGATTGGATTTGTGTTAATAGATAAAATTGACATCCCTAATGATCAAAAAAAAAAAATGTACCCTGTTTATTAATTTCAAAAGAATTAATTATACAGAATTGAATACCACAAGAATATTTAATTATTTTTGTAACTCAAACTGGGAGAAAATTAATAATAAAAAAATCTAGTGATTTTAGTAAAGTCTTTTGATAAGAAAAAAAAAGTAAAGTCTTTTGGCTGTGCTCGCTTGAGCTGTAATCCAGAATTGCCGAGTTTTCACCAGCTTGGTTTTTGGGCAAGTCTTGGGTTTATGTAAATAAACTTGTACGGAAGTTAAAGTCTTAAATAAACTTGGCTTTGAGATGGTCCCTAACAGAGTAAAATATACTTCTGGGTCCTCAATTATTTGCTTATTCTCACTTGTGTCTATCAACTTCTAGTTGTGTTTTATTTCAGAACGTAGCTGCATCCCTACTCACCTAGTCCATGCACATCACTCTCTCTAGGAGGTTGGCCTCCTATCCTAGACCTTCCCATTTCTGAGAAGATCCTGGGTTCCATCTAATTTAGTATCAAGGTGATTCTATTTCCGTTCCTATATAAATAGGTTCATGCGACATTTTTACGATATCATTATGACGAGGTAATGAGACTTGACCACTTTGTCATTTAATTTTGTCCAAATAATTAATAAAAATCGATAAGTTGCAATCATTATGGAATGCTGCAAGTTAGCCGTCGAATTGAACTNTCAATTAACTTACCAACCTTTTACTTTTTTTTTTAATCACTTTGAATTCATTTTAACATTAAAAAAAATTAATAATTTAAAAAGCTGAANGTTAGCCGTCGAATTGAACTATTTAAAAAGAAAATTGAAATTTATGAGACAAAAATATTATTATTACAAATTTAGAGACTAAAGTGAGATTGAACACAATTTTCAGTATGGCAAGTATATTTTACCCAAGTTTCTCTATTGTATTAGAGTTGCCGCCAAGGTTTGCTATGTCTTTACAAACTTCGTTTAGGCTTTGCTTTGGACATCCAGTGAGGATCCAGTTCAAATTTGAAAACGGTAATGCTACGCTGCCTAATGTATTCTTCCAAATTTAGTTTTTCGAATGAGCTGGCACCCGCACCAGCACCTAGGGTATCAAATATGTAGGGTTAAACGGGTGACGGATGAAAAATATATAAATTCGTACACAACACATTTAATAAACGGATAAAAAATCTCGACTTGAACACAACCTGTTTAATAAACGTGTAACACAACATGACTCATTTAACCCGTTTAATTTTAAAAAAATTATATTAACAAATTTTAATATTTAACTCTTTTTTTATTGTCAATTGCACTTACTTAAAAAAAGAGGAATTTTTAGTCAAATCTCATAAAAATAAGATTTGAAGGCTTAAAAAAAAAAAAAAAGACCATTGCTTTTTATAGACAACTCAACTCTCCCCATCTCCTCTCATTTTCCAACATGGGAAAAAAAATAAAAGACAATAGTTTGTCTTTGTCTTTGAAATGCTTCTCATCTCTTTTCTTTTGTCTTTGAAATACTACTTTACTTCTTTTTTTTCTTTATTGATTTTTTTACATCTTTTTTTTTATTAATTTTTTAAAATAATTATTAATTTATTATTATATTAATTTTATTTAAATGGGTAAACGTGTGATAAACGGTTTGACAGGTCTCACCCGAACACGACCCGTTTATTAAACGTGTTTGACATGTCAACCCATTTATTACCCAAACCTGTTAAGATTTCACTCAAACCCGCTTAATTCGTGTCGATTAATCATATCGTGTTGAATTTTGATAACCCTAGGACCACCAATATAATAAAGGACAAAATAATATTAAATGGTGAAGATTTAATCACATTAGTTAGTAAGCAAAACTTGGACTGAAAATTGAGAAAATTACCGGTAAGGATTACTTTTCTTTATAAAAATTTATTAAGTATTATTATTTTTGTTTTATATCAATAAAGTCATATTCTTGTTATTTTATTTTAATTAAGTCCTAAATTTTATTATACTCTAATTTTCTTAGCTCATTTGGGCACCTAATCTTAAAACTTGAAACAATATTTGTCGTTATTTAATAAAATAAGAAAGGTTAAAAAAAACTACATTGATAATATTTGTCGATTAATTCTATTTAATGTTGTTATCGATTCAAACACAACAACAAAAAATAAATCATTAACTTAATCATTTTAAATCCAATATAAATTAATAGAATATGATTTTTGCAAGAATTTTCAATTAATATTGATGTAGAATATGTAATATTCTATTAATTGATTCTAAGAATGCAAAAGAATGAAAGAGTTTTGGTAACTAAAGAGTAAGGATAAAATTGAAATATAATAAAATTAGGACTTAATGAAAATAAAAAATAAAAAATAAAACTTAATTGATATAAAAAAAATAATAGGACTTATTAAATATTTATAGAAAAAAATAATACTTATCGATAATTTTTCTGTGAAAATTTGAGAAGCATATCATTAGTGATTATAAAAGACTTGGCTTTGAAATGGTATACAAGCTTTTATATTCCAGGAACAAGTAATGAGAAAAAAAAATACAAGTAATGGAGTGAAATCCCCATTATCGGTAGAGTATAAGAGAGTGAGATCCCCTTCATATATTTTATCTCTATTTTTTTTTTGATAGGTCACTAAACATGAATTTAAATTGGACCCATCTATAATATAAAAAATGATAGACTTCAATAAGTCTATTTGATGGTCTCAAATAGATTTATTTAACGGTCACCATCATCCCTCTCAAAACTATTTGCATGATACCGTATCTTTAGGTACGAGTTATCCTTAGTTATACATAAGTAGGTTTCCATTAACATACGGTGAATGTTGTACCATAGAGAAAAATGGAGCTAAACAATTATTTGAAAGAATCTAAATCAGAGTGTAATGATGTGGAATTAGAGGAAAATGCATTTAGGTATGCAACCTTTAATTCTTTTCGCAAAGTGAGTAAGATATGGGCTTAAAACTTTAATTGAACTTTGCCTCCTTGGCATTTGAAAATTTGATTTGGAAATCCCAGCTGCTAGTGCTTGACCAAAAGACCAGGTCTATTGAATCTCAAATACCAAATGAGAAGCAATTGCATATATAGGCATCGACA